CCTGTGGGTAGTAGGCCGGCCCATGATTTTTTCCAACTTTTTTTTACCTTTTTAATTATATTTAATTTCTATTTACAATTATAAAATTATTTCTACTTTATTTTTTAGTAATTTAAACTTGTATTAAACTATTTTTAAATTTGTATTAAACTTTTTAATCCTTTAAGTAGACATCAGCGATCTTAAAGATCACTGTTTTATTTCTCAATGGACCAAAAGGCCCACGAGCCAAACACCTATGACCTTTTGACTTTGTTGGCAGCTAGGTGCAGTGTGCAGACCCAAAGGGCTAAAGGAACAGCTAGCTTAACTAAAAAAACATATTATGGGTCGGGACGGGTCGAGCGTGGGTCGAGTCAGGCGTGAGCCAGACCTACTTCTCTAACCTCGGATATGGAGCTGGACCCCGCCCGACCCATGACCTGGGTATATCATAAGCTAGGTCAGGCTCGGCCCACTACACCGGAACGGATCATGGCCCATGGAGGGCTGAATAAGGTTAGTCCACGGGTCGACCCAGCCCACGCCCAACCCTAAGAATGTTACATACTTATCCCAGACTCGACCCTCACCAACAGACATGACCCAAGGCCTCCACAAATTAGCATGACTTATATACCTGATATATGACCCTTACACGAATTGCAAGCCAACTCAAACTGAGCGATGAGATGCCTGACTTGATAAGAGAGGAAATTAAGAGCACTCGTTCCTAGCCAACTCATGCCAAGATGTTAGCCTCTGCCAAAAGATGGTGGCCTGCAGGAGTAGGCCACAATCACGGGCGGTCAAGTGTCTTGTCAAAATGTGGGGGCTACACGAGACTGAATTTATATCCTGACAGAACTATCAGCTTGCAAGCGGGTGATTCTCTACCCTACAGTGGGTATGAGATTTACCTTTCTACACCCCTACTATTCTCGCGTGCGGATGATTCTGATAAGATACGAACTCTATTTGCCCAAGGGATAGTTGCGGAACCAGGATTTTGTATCAGGTGTGTATTTCATAGAATTTATCATGGTTCTATTTTGAGTATATCATAGATAATTTTACAACTTTATTCTAATTCTAATAGAAGTAGTAAATAAAAGCAAAAATAAACAAATTTATGCACAAAGTAGGCATAAAATAAACAGACACTGTATGGCTCCGCGCTACGGAGTCCCATATTATGAACTAGCGCCAGCTCTGGGCCTGCGTAAAACTTTGTAATTTTCATGAGAATAAATCTCGGGCTAACTACTTGAAAATTTCTTTTCGCTCGAAAACTGGGCATATATACATGAGGTTGTCGGTGTTAAAAGATTTACACTAAAAAAAGTCAAAGATTGTAATTTTCATCATAAGCTTAAAAAAGCTGCTTGAAAATAGAAAAGGAGAAAGAATTTCTGTAAATTCTCATCCCCCCCCAAACGTAATATTATTCCAAAATAATTATTTATAGCGCGGGCCCAATCTATTGCTTTACAGTTCATCCACAGGCTCAACAGCTCTTCATGTGTGGACATCCTTTCGTTTGTTTATAAATATTGGAGCTCATCTCAGTGCAGTAGCCTTCAGTACAGGAATCACATCACATTTTGGGTCTCAAGCAAGCCACTAGATTTCTTCAGGTGAGCTCTCTAAAAAACTCTCTGTCGGTAGGAAATTTTTTGAGCTGAGGATATATAACTGAGCAGGATAGTGTTTTATTTGTTCAAATTTAACTTATTTTTGTTTTTGAATATATAAATACAAAAGAAAGTTTTAAACAGGATGTCTAATCTACATGATGTTTGAGTTCACTTGTTCTTTCCATTCTGAGAGCTCTATTAAAGAAGAGGTCAATTCAATTTTATTTTATTTTATTTATAATTTACGTGGAGATTATAGCCGCTAACCCGGCTCTAATTTGAAGGAGAGAGCTGGGTGATCTTGACTTTGAATTAATTTTTTTTTAATCCTTGATTTACGTCCAACAGGGCCATGGATCCTAAACGTTTTCAGAGGATTTATCCTCTTATTGCAATGGTAAATGTTCTGATTTTACTGAGCATGAAAGTTAATGGGTACCCTGTTCCTAAGACTTTCCTTTCAAATGCCGAAGCTAAAGGAGCAGGTAATCGTGTTTTTTTTTTTACTTTCAATTTTAAAAAAAAATTTAAACCTGAGATCACTGAAATTGGTTGTGCAGTTTGTTTAGATGGAAGCCCCCCGGTTTATCATTTTTCTCCCGGATTTGGCTCAGGCGCCAATAATTGGTTGGTTCACATGGAGGTTAGTTTAAGATTTAGTCCCATATCGTAGGGGTTGTATTTAAGATTTAGTCCCATATCGCGGGTACAGAGTATCAAAATGAGTGCTTATTATGTCATCAAGATTTAGGACCTGATAAACTAACCTTTTGCGTCAAACAGTAATTGCAGTCTCAATATGGGGAGGAATTTTCAAAACAATCCCGTTTACAATAATAATCGCAAAAAAAAGACACATTTCCAACTTATTTTCAGAAACCGACCTGGTTTCAGCATCAGCGCTGAAACTAGGTCGGTTTCTGAAAAAATAATTTTGAAACTTCACAGGAGTTCAACTCCCGGCTACTATTTTAAGAAGAACAATGGTTTCCATAGCCGTTGGAAAGAAGTATCACGGTTACCCGTGCAAAGCTTTCGAAAGTTATTCTCTGTATAAGTTATGCTTGAGCGTTTGAGCTCATAAATGGTGAAAATTTCCGATTTAGGCGAACCAATTATAAATAATTTAATTTTTCTTACAGGGAGGAGGATGGTGCAGCACCCCTGAAGAATGTATAGATCGGCGAAGTAACTTCAGAGGCTCTTCTAGATTAATGAAGGATTTATCGTTTTCTGGCATTTTGGCAAATAAGCCAAAAACAAATCCTGGTACGGAATTTAAACAAAGTTAACGATAAAAAAAAATCTCGATCATTAGCACCTTGAGGGCTCTTTGTTTTCTTGTCCACTTGGCTGAGTTTAAATATCCGATGCCTGTAAAATTCTTATGCGCAACTAAACACGCAAAAGTTTAGAAGATGCACGAGGTGTGCGTGTCTCGTATGCATGATAGACGTGTATCCAACATGACATGCCTTCATGTTTTTGAAGCGCTCGTGTTCATAAAAAATAAGCATCCTGAGTCTTGAAATTTATTTCGTGTTGTTAATCCCCCGACTTCTTTTGTTGGAAACCAAATGCAGACTTCTATAACTGGAACAAGGTCAAAGTTCGTTATTGTGATGGTTCTTCATTTACCGGGGATGTGGAGACCGTAGATCCAGTGAGTTGATCGTTCATCTGATATACTTTTGTTCAAAGATTACCAGTTTCAGTCTACCGTGAACTAAAAATGATCTTTTTGTTTATCTAACAGGAAAAGAAAGTTTACTATAGAGGAGCTAGAATTTGGCTTGCGATTATGGAAGAATTACTGGCTAAGGGAATGAAAAATGCACAAAATGTACGAACAATGCGGAGAAAAGAAAGTACAGGTTTTATGAATATGAATCTGTGCTAATGTATTTAAATGGTGTTGTAGGCTATGCTTTCTGGTTGTTCAGCTGGTGGGTTGGCTTCTATACTTCATTGTGATAAGTTCCGTGATCTTCTACCAGCAAGCGCAAACGTTAAGTGCTTTTCAGATGCTGGATATTTCATCCAAGCGTAAGTTCATTATTTGTGTATAATCGGGGGAAATGATAAGTTTAAAAAAAAATCATATGAACTGTAAGATTGAGATATCTAATTTCTCCTTGCATTTGGCAGGAAGGACGTTTCTGGAGCAGATCGCATTGGTGACTTCTTTTCATCCGTTGTGGCTACCCATGTATGAATTATTTTTCAACACATTTTTTTTAAACCAAAATATTGCAAAAATAATATGCCATTTAGTTGCCTGAATAAAATTTGACATGTAACGTACTGAAGTAATGTTCATCCTTTTAAAAGGAACATGTTCATTGGATTTTTCTCTCATCAGCAGCGGGTGTGAATCACTCATCTTAAAAATAAAAATAAAATGTAACTATCATTCATATTCTAATTATAATGTTTTAATACTTACCTTTATTGATATTCTTCTAGGGATCGGCGAAGAATTTGCCTTCTTCGTGCACTTCAAAATTCTCACCAAACCAGGTATGTCATATTTATTTCGAGATTTATTCAAACTTCTCAAACTGAACTTACCAACATAATACAATGCATTTACAGTGTTTCTTCCCGCAATACGTTGTACAACAAATGCGCACACCGCTCTTTATACTGAACTCAGCGTATGATGAGTGGCAGGTAACAATCTTTTGTATTATTGTCCATCATATTAGTTTAGCATTGTCTTAAATTATAACGAAAAAAATTCTTTTCTACAATTAAAAGCCTATTCCCACGTAGAGGGAACTTCATTGCACGAACTAAAATAATATAAGGGATAATCTTCCCTTGGTTTTTGACATATTAATTACATGTGGTTATTTACATTTTGATTCATATTCTGCTACTTTTTTTTTTACTGTGAGCATGCGTTGTATCGCTTAAAGTACTTACTGTGTTTTTTAAACTCGCTGCCTCTCCCATTTCAGGTCAGGAACGTTCTTGTTCCAAGTGCCTCTAAAGCTAAAGGTTGGACTGACTGCAAGGTTGACATAAGCAAGTGTGATTCAAATCAAATTTCAACTCTTCAAGGTGAACGATCTAGACTTTCGAACCACATTATGTTCAATGCCAAATGAAATCGTCCAATTTAATTTATTGTAACATCCTTTACACATAGTTTAGACTTCTTTCCCATGAATGTTAAAAAGGGAAATCGCCATCATGAAAACGGAAATTAATGATTACCCACATTATTGATGAATAATGTGCTCTCGAGTCTCGACCACATAGCTCAAGAAATTTCATAATCATGGTTAAAATGGAGGGTGCAATTTTTTTAACTATCATGATCTAAATTGTCTATCCCTACAGGTTTTAGGTCTGAATTTCTGAGCGTGCTACCTACTGGCTCCTCATTTGGCAAGTTCATAATATCATGCCATGCTCACTGTCAATCAGGCACTCAGGCGACGTGGTTGACCGATAAATCTCCTTCAATAGGAAACACTGTAAGCTCTTCATCCGTTGCTTCAATTAAGTATAAAACTTATATGATTTATCAATCATTTCTCTTTCTTTTTCTTTTTTTTTGGGGGAAATATCGGTCATTTCTGAATTTCTATAAAAAATACTGAATGTTCTGTGATAAATTATGTGATACCCTCGTTTCGCAGAAAATTGCAAAGGCAGTGGGAGACTGGTTCTATGGCCGCCGTGTTGTGGAGGATATTGATTGCCCTTATCCTTGCAACTCTTCATGCTCGAAGGTCATTGAAGAGTAGAAGATTCTGGTTGGAAATTTTTTTTTCTTCGAGATAATATGTTCGGATTGTTCTAATATCTTGGGCAATAATTCCAGTGATCAACTGCCACAAAAAAAAAAGGAAATATAAGCCTGTGTATTACTGCCCCAACGGTGTCATTGTTTCATGTACATGTGAAGCGGTTATGATTTATTTGAAGGAAGCATTCCATTTGTCACTGTTTCTAATACAAACTGATTCAGGTATACTCATGATAACTTGGATTTATAGCTAAATAGCGTAATGGTTGCATCTTCTTCAAAAAATAGAGAATATAGTAGAATATCATTTAAAAAAATAGAGAATATAGTATTGATATTATGGCAGG